TTTAGCAGCATCCCGCCGTTAGCTGTCAGTGCTACTGGTGTTTGATGTGGCATCAAAGCCAATGGCCAATAAACATATACTTTGGGGTTCGTTTAACCTAAGAATGGCGCGTGCCAAGACAGTTGGAACTGATGTTATGTTGTCCATGGGTGCGTCATCACCGGTAGTTAACCATCAAGGGTCGCGGTCTGTGGGCGCCAAATCAGGTAAAAGGGGCCAATCTCAGCGTGCGGGAGCGACCGGTGAGATAAAGATCAGGAAATAGGGGCTGATCCTAACATGCGTGAACCTCACTCCGTTATCTTTTGAATTACGCTTGGTACAACGTGGTACAAGCAGCAAAGAATTCTGCGATAACACTTGCCAAATTGCATCGAATATTCGTTACAGTTACCGCAATAAGAGAAATCAGGTCAACAACAGTTACTCTCTAAGCTGCTTTATTTCGCAGGTGTGAGCTAATGTAAAATACGTGGCATGCGCAGAGGTGGTCCAAGGGTCAAATTTTGGAAGTGGATTCAAGCGAATTTGGACCTCTAGCGGATTTGGCGGTAATTCTGAGATTGCGATCTCCACTGGATTATGCACACTCCCTCGCACTTACAGATTTTGTTGCAGTTTCCGGTAAATGTAACAATCACACGATAGATGTCGTTCTTGCTTTATACCAACGTTAGCATGACAGAGACGGCTCTAGGCTTGAAAAAGGGGATATTTTTACGCAGTGTAAAAAGCACTGCGGGTCTTCAAAGCAGGTATATACGGAACAGTACTCGGCGTCTAGATGCAAAGGCTTTCAACTTCTACCAACATTTATACAACGGTTTAATATGTAAAGTGGGAAAGGCGTGTTCAAGCGGGGTTAAATTGGGTCCAGAGAGCTAAAATTCCTAACCTAAGCCAGCTCTGACGTGCTGCGAATGGCTAATAAAGAAACGTAAACGTGATGAGACAGAGGAAGGGCAAAAAATTACACGGACGCCTCCAAGAATAAAATTAACGGGACTTGTACCACTTGAAACATGATGCGCCAAAACAACATACTACATCACACTTTCATTTATGTGCAGTAAACACCATTTAAAAAACAATCGCATGTCAGAGGCAAGTCAACGACAAGCGAAGAGGGAAAGGGCTATTGCATAACATGGAGACCATGGCTGCCAACAGCTGGGGGTTAGCGGGCGGCAGGGCCACTTCAATAGACCACGTCCAAATTACATGCCCATGCTTCCCTCCTTTTAAAACCTGGGAACGTCCGCCACGCATGCTCACACACGCTATATGAGTACCGCAGTTCATTGCATGCGGATTTCAGCGTTGCGGCCGACAGCCAAGATCTTCTTCTCACTTAGCCTTCTCTTTTCACTGCCCTGGCATCCCCTATGACGTGCTTTTGGGAGTTAGCTTTATTTTCTGACCACATAAAGGGAGACCATCGAATTTGCAGGCATGAACTCACTCAAGCCTGGTTTTTTATTTGTTTTTATCACCCGTCCATTTTTTCTACATAGGCCCATTAAGTTGAGCTTTAAAATGTCGCCTTGACACGCTTTTTTGTAATAATTTTATATTGAGATGCGTTAGAAGTGTCGACAGTGGTTCATAAACGCGCCTCCATTGATGGATTCAAAACGCCATGATAATTTTTGTTTTCTGCGCCCAGCGGCCCCATTATAAGAAATGTTGAAGACATTTTAAGGAACGTAAGCCTTCTCCGAAGCGCAAGAACGCCGTTTCACTTTTGATAATCGGTCAAGCAGTTCTCGACATATCCAGGGTAAGGGGGGGGGGGGGTAATCTGCCTCTCCCTTAATCAAGAGTAGTTTTGCGTGTCTTAAATAACATGGTGAGTATAGTGAATATGGAGCAAGCATGAGAGGCCGAGGTAGGTACTAGGACTCAAGCCGTCCTCCTACTGAGCCCCTAACGAGATCGGTCACGTAACCACCGAAGCAGTGGCTGACTTGAAGCGGTGGGCCCTCTCAAGGCAGGCCGCGGTCATTCCGCGCCAGCGAAAGATCGCGACCTTTCCTAGTGTTAAGGACTGCCTTCATGCTACTGAAGGCGCCCAGTTCGCTGTTTACATGACCCGATGAAGTCCTAGCGAATTGCGCCAGCGCAGATATTGCAGCTAGAGTCAACATACGAATTTTTCGCCACCTGTCCTTTGGAACAAGGTGTAATCGCCCTGGCCCCCTGTTCGAGTCGACTGGCCTGGCCCCCTAGTACCCTGACCACGGCCTAGGGCAGCTTGACCACGGTGCGAGTCGTGGCCATGCTGTGTCGCCTGGCACGCAGCGGCGGTGATGGCAGCCCTCCCGTGGGCCGCATGGTCTTGACTGTCTGCGGCTGATGGCATACCCCGGCATTGTAGCTGCACGCCAGACTGTCTGGAGCTGATGGCATACCCCGGCATTGCAGCTGCACTCCAGACTGTCTGGAGCTGATGGCATACCCCGCCATTACAGCTGCGAGAGAGCTAGGGGTCATTGCGACGAGCGGTCGTTGGTTACCCTTGATGCGACGTCCGAGAGTGTCACTGAAAGTCAAAACGTTCATTCTGTAATCCGGGCGTTTTCACATGTTTTTTATTTGTTTGAGTGACCTGTAATATATTTACATTAAGACCAAGCATTTCAGAGTGCTTGTAACCGATGTTCTCCGGGAACTCAATGATATAATCTAACGCATATTACTTGTACAGTGGCTTGCATGGTGAAACTGTTCCGGTTCCCGACCTAGGACTGCACAAACCGCACAGTTTCGAGAATATCTCGGCAGGTGCTCAGATTTCTAATTAAGCTTAGGAAGGCTTTCACCAAAAGCCTGAAAATGTAAATGATTGAGGACATCACATTCCTTGTGCATGCCTCTCAAATCACAGCGCATGACGTCAGCAAATGGCCGTATGAAATATGTAACAGCCATTAACATCACAGTGATAATTTCTCGAAGCTTCAGCGTTATGACCTTTTCACACGGCGGACAGTTTCTGGCGCGCTTCGCAGCGCGTCAAAGGGGGTGGGTGGACAAGAGGACCATGGCC